AAAATAAAATACATACAAAGCAGAACACAGCTAAATGTATCAAAAGTATGTCTGTGTAATATTAGAATTTTCAGAGACAATGAATTTTGGTTTTTCATTTTTTTCCCTGTAACAGGTTTTTATTTAATAGAATTTTTGGACAAAAAAATCACAATATATCGCCTTGCTTATAGTATCGCAATATATCGAGATATATCATATTGTGACCCCTCTGTCATGATATGTATCGTATCACCAAATTCTTGCCAATACACAGCCCTATTTTCAAATCTCCTTTTTTTCAGTTTGAAAAACTTTTTATTTTCAACAAAACTTATGACCCTAATTTAGCTCCACAGTTAACTTGGAGGTAGACAAACCTCAATGTTGTGCAGGTAGTTCCCCCTGCAGCGCAGGTGTTCCAGCAGCAGGTGGCGCTGTTTAGAACCTACTGGTAGCAAGCTGGCAGCCAGCACGTCCTGCTGATCGAGGTGTTTCCTCAGCAGGTGACGAGCGATCTTAACCTGGGGCCGGCGGCAGAACAAACAGTAATGTTTCTTGTCCCAGCGGTACTTCCCACCTCCCGTCTTCTTCTTCACTGTCACACCTGTCTTCTCCTCCTTGCCCCGCCTCTTCTGTTTCTGAACACGCCTCTTCTTTCCAAAGCCACGCCCCTTTTCAAGTGTCTCCCGCTTCTTTGCACTCTCTTGTCTCTGCCTCTTGTCTACACAGCTGCGACGTGGTCGAGTAGAGACAGTTTTAGGTAATTCCTCTGCAGGAGACGGGGTTTGCTCTGAAGGGTCTGTTTTCTTCAGCGTCTCTGTATCAGCCTGGTCCTCCATGGTACTGGTGGTCTACAAGACAACCTGTCCATCACAGACAGGTGAAACACCTCAGTCAGTTTGCAGACCATTAATTAAACCATTCAAATCTATTACAGATGTTCCAGTTCTGACTTCATCACTTATTTCATTGACATGTTATATGTTATCAAAGTCGTCCGGTTTAGTAAAAGAAACGGACGATCTTTGGTTCCGCCCTCAGGCGTAGAGATGAGTCAGAGAAAGAAAGATAAAGATTTGCCAGGGCGCCAGCCCAAGGTTAAAATTCTGTGGTTGTTCAACAACAAGATATAACCTCTTTTCAGCTTTCTTCTGACAGACTCTAAGAGAAATCACTGCAAAACATTTATYATGATTAATTAACATTTCTGTCTTATAATCAGTTCTGAACCTTCTGTTAGTCCAGATAGATGCAAGATTTTCTCAGGAAAAATCCACAATTATATTACTGTGTTCACAGTAAAATAAAAACAGTGATTTACATAAAAACACAATGAAAACATTGTAATGATTCTGTGATTTTTTTATACCATTATTAATCTTCTAGGCAAGATAAAAGAAAAGAAGTGGTTCCACTTTTCCTGTGACAGTCATTATCATGATTTAACAAATGCATAAACATTCTTAGTTAAACAACAAATGAATCACGAACAGAAGAGATTGTTCTGTCCATTATCTGATTAAGAGAACTGAGGGGTTCTCTTCCACGGTTGGAATGACCTGTCATGGCCTAAATAGAGTTCAGTTTGTGACAGAGTTCCTGTCCTCTCGTCAGGCCTGTCCGAGGCCTGCTTCGAGGCAGTAAATCTTGTTTCTTCACTCGAGGTGACCCCTACATTTGTCAACAATTTTCCAGAAAAAACATAATGAATGAAAAATTCTGCACAAAACTATAGAGCGAAATTCAGATAGTTTGGTGAACAAATAAAAAACACATATCTGACAGTTAGGAGATTTGGTTGACTGAATAATGTGTTGTGGAAAAGTAGGAAGCGTTTGTAAAATGTCCAATTAGATCTAATTTTGTTCTTTGGAAAGAAGGACATCCAGTCAAAACCAATGGTTATGTTTTACAGGTTCGACTCGGCCATACRTGGTCTGATTTTAATACTGCATGTCCWMAATGTTRYGAGCTATGGTGTGAATTAAGTTTTGGTTAAGGTTAGGAATAGACTAGTAATGGCTAGTTTTAGGGAAAATGTCTGGGTTAGGCATAAACACAGTTACAAAAATGAATGGAAGTCAATATGATGTCCTCAGTTTGATGCAAGTACAAGGTTGTGTGTGTGAGTACTTGTTTTTACTACAGAGTGAGGACCATTTGAGACAGTTACTATCAAAGTGAGGTCTTTGATATAAAACGAAGCCACTGTCAATGTCAGCTCTACTGTGCTTTACTAGTTAGATTTAGAGGTARGGAGTGGACTAAGTTTTGGTTCAGGTTAGGGTTAACTATAGACCAATCAGGGCTCTAGAGTGAGACCAATTTGGTCGCAAATGCGACCTGATTTCCTAGTAGTGCGACTAAAAAAATGTCTGGTCACACTGGTGCGACCAATCGTTCGACGGGGAGGGGAGGGCGGTCGCCCGCTGAAACTAAAAGTTTCCATGTTCCGTAAAACAATGACTCCAGCAGAATGAACCATTACACTGCTCTCTGCTCCACCCACCCACCCACACACACACACACGTTTGTTGTTCTATCCTCATGGGGACTTTGCATTGGCTTCCATTCATTTCCCTGTCCCTATGGCCAACCATAACCTCCCAGGTAGACTACACACCTGACCCAGCCCTAACCTCACCTGGCTGTGTGTGCCGGGGAAATGGTCAATAATTGTACCCACCATGAACAACAAAAAAAAAAAAGAAAAAAACTGTGCGCGCACATGCATAGCGATACAACCATATTTTTATTCCTTTACCCAGATGGGAGTCTAAAAACAGTTCTTTTAACTGTGGAGATGAAAAGATGTGGACGGTTGCTTGTTCTTAAGTCCATCTTGTTAATTTAACAGAGTTCTGCTCTGTGAGCTGCAGATCATTTCAGCAGGACAAGGAAGCTCACGTGTATGGCAGGCCGCTGTTACACTTAATCGACTTCACCACAGTTTCATTCCAAGTATGTGAAATAGGTTCTTCTGGGTCTCAGGAGGATAAAACTAGACTTATTAGATATTTAAGTGAAATAATATAGGATAATAAGATTCAACTAATGATGAAATTGCAGACTTTTATGTGTTAATATTTAAATAAATCTACACAACCTTTTAATAAATCAGTAATATTTCTGTTATTAATCATTATTCTCTGTTCATCATTCTGGTTGATCCAAGACCAAAGARCCACAGTTGTCCATCTGAGGGACGAAAAAAAACTTAACCATGAAATGTTTAAGATGTTTATAATTCATCTCTTAAACATTAGAATTTTATAGAATCACTTTAAATACTTTTCAGTAAGTTAAATGTCTACAATTCTGGTTCAAATAAAGAACTTTGTTTACTCGATTGTTAACTAATTATTTTTGAGTTAATGTTGCCTTAATTGTTAATCTATAAGATAAATCAACTTCAGATTAATTCATTATCAATAACTTACATCCTTAATTTATACAGGAATTAAATTAATATTTATCTACTCATATTCATGTAATTAAGCATTTTAATGATTTGGCCGATTAATTGATTAATCTAAAAAATTATCGACAAATTAAATCGATTATTAAAATAATCGTTAGTGGCAGTCCTAGTAGGAATGTAATGGAAGTCAATGCCAGGTCTAGAGCTGCCACGATTAGTCGATTAGTCAACGACTAATCGATTATTAAAATAATTGATGATTAATTTAATAATCGATTAATCTTTTTGTTCTTTGTTTCTGTCGTTGACACACATGCACAGTAGTGGTAACTGGGGTAGGCCGTGGACGTCACAAGACATTATACAGACAGGCTCTGGTATCATGGCTACCTGACAACAGAGCTCAAAGTGTGGGATCATTTMAAGAAAATGAAAGAGAAACCTGTGTAATATCTGCAGAGCAGAACTTACCTTCCACAGCTATTATTTTTAGTTAGCATYTAGCTAAAAHCTAACCATGGTTATATAATAGCAGCTGCATTCTGACGTGATTACATCTACATGTGACAAAAAGAGGGGAATTTTAATCAGTTTTGATGCTTATGTTTTGTTTTCAGATTGCTAATTTTGATTTAAACCTCACGTCCAAACTTGTAAGAATAAACATTTTTAATATTATGTTCATCCAAAGTGTGTTTTAATACGTCCTGATAGATCCCGTTTGTGTACACATCGTTCAGACATGAGGCACAGGTCWGGTCAGCGTTTTTCCATCTGTCTGAACTGAAACAACCTTTTCTGCAGAACAGAGTTAATCTGTTCGTACTATTTAAAACCTAACTGTAAATTATCTGATTTATGTTGAAGATTCAGACAGCGAGGAACGACAGGAGGGAGTCTGAACTGAAGCTGAGATTAAAAAACTATTTTTATTAAAAGATCAAAATCATTCACAGCTTCTTTTCACTGTTTTATTTGAGGCTGGATGGTAAGTTTAGTGTAAATCAGGCCAGAATAGATACAAATAGAACAACTAGAGTAAAAACTGTTTTTAACGTTTTATATTTGTAATATTTTTACAGTAGTAGTACTAATTGTTACATCGTTTCATGTTCTTATTAACAGTCCTGCACAGTGACTCAGGTAAAACAGAAAATATTTAATTTACATAAAAACAAAGACATTTATAGATTATTTAAAATAAAATAAAAATCACAGCAAACATCAATGTAGGCCAAAATAAATAAATAAAACTAAATAAAACATGACAGATGTAATTTAAAGAACAGGAAGATTCAAAAGCCTCAGTATAACATGAGTCAACAAACATTTGTGTTGTTTTGTTGTGAAGACTGTAAACAACAGCTTGTTATAAATCATTAAGGTTTGTGTAACTGAAGATAAACATTTCCCTTAATCATTACTCCTGTTGACATCAGTTGAGTGAACTGATGAAAATATAATAAACTAATAATGTGAGGACATTTAAAAAACATTATTTGATTAAAAACACAATTTTCAGTGTTTTTAAGCTGAATTTACATCATTAACTGTTTGCTTTGAGGTCTAATGTGACTCAATGCAAGATTTTTTAGTTAAATTTAGTCAGAAAAAATATCCTTTGTCTCTTAATCCCAGCTGTAAATGATGGCAACACAAAACAAAACTGATTTCACTTGTTTACAACACAAAGGTGTGTGTTTGTATGATAAATTAACAACTTTAATTAAAGATTAAACCTGGAAAAATGTGTTGTTTTGACAGCTCACTAAAAACAACTTGACATTTAACTCTTTCTTTAAACATGCTGGGTCCAGAGAGCTCGACCCAAACTAACAGAACCGATCCCCGCGACACCAGCACCACGGTTCTGACCCACATAAACACATCAGTGCTTCATGAAGCATTACAAGTAAAATCCTCCGTTTTTTGAACGGAGTCTGGTGGAGTCTCAGCATTAGCTCCTGAGCATTAACCACGACACATCTGTGCCTCCGGGCCGAGGTTCTGTTAACGCCGAACCGCACGGACTCACAGCTGCCACAGGTCCACTGACCCGGTTCGGATGTTAGACAAGTTTTAAAGATGTGTTTGATGATGGATGTTTGCAGCTAACCGTACCGGGAAGCTAATGCTAACTCTGCAGGATGACGTCATGAACGAATCAACAGAACCGAGCCAGAAGTGAGGATGACACAGAAACAAAGGATGCAGAAGAACCCAGAAGAACCCAGAAGAACCCAGTGAACCAGAGCAGATCCTCCTGAAACATGCTCACCTGCTAACAGCTCTTCTCCTCCTTTCTTCTTTGCTCTCTTTTCTTCCTCCTCCTGGTTTAATGTCGGCGGATGTTAAAAACCGTTCATGTGATTTACCGCCCCCTGCTGGTGTGGAGAGAGAACTGCTCAAAACAAAGAAAAACTTCATCTTTCAAACAAGTTTGTTTCAAGTCTTTTATTAAAGCTTGAATACTTTCAGGTTTTCAGTTTKCCCATAATATTTATTTTCATTTCATTGATTCTGTTATTAGTCAGTTTAATTATTTTCTGTCTGTACTTTTGGCCGTGTAACAATCAGTGTTGTGGTAGTTACCTCAAAATAGTAATTAGTTACACATTACTAGTTACTTTTCAAAAAAGTATTATATTACACTATTTAGTTACTCAGTTCTGAAAGTAACTTAGTACATTACTTTTGGATTACTCTAATACCTTTGATTTAACTTATTATTATTATTATTATTATTATTATTATTATTATTATT